ATGTATGTAATGTATGTAATATATGTATGCATGTATGTATGTATGTATGTACGTATGCATGTATGCATGTATCTATGTACGTATGCATGTATGCATGTATCTATGTACGTATGTATTTATGTATGTATGTATGTATGTATGTATGTATGTATGTAGTGCATGTGTGCATGTGTATGTGTATGTGTATGTGTATGTATATGTATGTATGTATGTATGTATGTATGTATGTATGTATGTATGTATGTATGTATGTATGTATGTATGTATGTATGTATAAGTATACGTATGTATATGTATGTATGAATGTACATGAGTAAGTAAGTATGTCAGTAAGCAAGTAAGTACGTAGGTAGGTAGGTATGTGAGAGGGTTGAGTGAGTGAGTAAGTAAGAAAGTGAGTAAATAACAATGTTAGAAGTAAGTCTGTATGTATATTATGTATGTATGTATGTATGTATGTATGTATGTATGTATGTATGTATGTATGTGGGCATGTATATGTATGCAAGAATGTAACAATACGGTATGTACGTGTGTATGCCTTACGTGTGTCTGCCTGTCTGTTGTGTGGCTTGTCTAGTTCGTCCTGTGTTCCTTTTTCGTTTTCATGTTGTCAACTTACTTATGAGACACCTATGCCTATATACCAATGCAGCCATGTCTCTCCCGCTTGCGAAAAAAAGACCGAGCTTTTGTTCTCCATGCCCGTGGCCCTCAAGTCCATTCGAGCTCAGGGGTTAAGCTGCGTTTTCGGACGCCAGGAGAACAGAAGACATTTCGCCATGTCACCGGTTTCCACTCTTCGTGGAGAGAGAACTCACACAAGTCCAACATCCAAGACGTTCCGATTCGTATTTACCTTAGCCGTGGCACTCTCTCACGTACTACTTTTTGGCAAAGAGGACACGTGAATCAACCCCATGCAGAAGCCAGGCCAGGTAAGCATTGATTGAGATGGAAGCTACTGCACTGTGCTATTTGCGTGCCGAAGGAAAGTCATAGATGGCTCGCTTCACGAATGAACCGCACATAGTGCATCTAGAAGACACTGTCGGATCACCTTTGAGGTCGTCCGAAAGCGCCTGATGGTGGCAATGTCAGAAGTCAATCACCCATGCTGTGGAACATGTGTGTATTCCAGTGGACGTATACCCATCTGTGCGCATGTTGGATATCTATGAGTTCCCACGCAGCTGAATGCAGGAAAGTCAGTCAACAGAGCCTAGTCTGAATCTCTCTCTCTCTCTCTCCCTCTTCCTCTCGCCCTATACCTGCGATTACCTTAGGCTGCTGCAGGTTTACACAGGGGGAAGGGAAGGCATAGGTAGACAGCTAAGCTTCAGCAATTACGACATCGTGTAGCGTGGCGAAAAGCAGCGTTTCTCGTGTACGTCTACAAGCTCCAGAAAAAGCCGAGCTGAAAAACAGCATCGTGGGCAAACATGCCACATCAATGCTGTCTACTCATGTCTTTACACACTGCCACAGGCTGTAAAGTTCGCAATTCCAAAGGGCAGCACTGGCTGCTTGCGCTGAGATCAACGTGCTACAGCTTGCCATCTGTGGAGCTTGGGCCTTTCTCATCCTCGCCATGGTCGTGGCTTCGCGGCATTTGTTCTCCGGCACCCTTTCAGCTCCTGTTTGCTTGCCGCTTCGAGGTGGACATCTTCCTGGGAGATCAGGGATTGGTGACGGCACCGCACTGGTCACGACCTCCAATGTCGCGCCTTTCACTGGAGCCGCACGAGCTTGGAACACCTTTGGGCTTCCCCTGGTATGCAGGCACGGAGGAGGCGGCATGGCTAGTCTTTTGGCATCCGCATTTCTTTGTACTGGAGGTGCCAAGCCATGGCTGCCGGAGCAGATGGCTTGGCACGAGGAGCAAAGCATGCTGCAGACAGCCTGTGCATCTGCGTTTTCGACTAAAGACGACCTGTAGGAAAAGCGTGAAGCCATGAGTGGCTTCATCAGTGCACCGCATTCAGGCGCTGCTATGGCAAGTGGAAAGCGAGATAAGCCACGGTGCTATGATCAAGCCCCAGTGAATTTGGCCCATCACCAGGCCAGGAGGATGGAGGTGGTGGCCACTCGAACATCCACAAGGGCCAAGCACGCCGCTTGAGCGCGCGCCTGAACCACGGACCGGCAGCAACCCGAAATCGTCCCGTCATGTCAAACGAAACTCGCATGTTCGAGGTGCAGATGTCCATGCATCTCCAGCTCGCTCAGCCTTGCGTGATATCTTGGAACTGCTGCCAGGCCAGCCGACTAGTCTTGGTCACATGAACTGAAAGAAGCTTGAAATGAAACGTGCCGAACATGTGCCCGTCAAAGGTTCCGAGCGGGCCAAGGAAGTGCCAGTGCAGACCGTGTGGCCGGGATTCTTTGAGCCACGCATCCTGGCATGTGGACCACATGGCATCGCAGGGAGCTGAGTGTTTCTTCCTTCGGTGGGATTGGTGGAAATCCCCAATTCATCAAGGCCGCGCTGTCGCCTCGTGGTGTGGGTGCCCTCGTCCCAGCGGCTGTGGCTCACCACCGTGCCTTCGAAGCTGCCCGTCGCTTCCGCTTGTCTGGGTGGGAGCCTGATCCTCTAGATTCTCCGGGCCTCCGGGCATTGGATGGTGATGGTGTGTTCTTGCAGGGTGGTTTGGTCGGCCACGGTTTTGTCGTTGGTGGCGAGGTTAACGCACTTGCCTCCACTGCTGTCTGCGGCCTTCCATCCAGAATCGCAGGCGGAATCTTATTGCGCAAGCATGCAAGATCTGTGTTTGAGACTTTGGAGAGGAGCTGATGGTTGTGACTCGCGGTGGACATGTGGCCACGTGCCCGGATGCCGGAGCAGTGACCCTAGAGCCCTAGCAGAACGACTCGTCATCGGGTGGAGGCTGCGTGTCGCTTGAGATTTTAGAGTTTAACTTCGAATGAGGCTTCTCCCTGTGCCGTGCACCATGCTGGCCTTCCCGTGTCGGCAGCACGTGCTGCGGCTGTTGCTTGGATGCGCCAGGATCTCAGTGTGGACTGCAGGCTTTTGGCTGTGGCCGGAAAGGGCATGTGCGACACAGGTGACGAGGCATCCAAAGAGCACCACCTCCACGCTGCCTTCATCGACGAGGCTTCAGGGTTGTGAGAGCCACGTGCATGACATGAAGGGTGCCGGCTCTTCTTCGGACTGTGAGCTGCTAAATGCTGTGTGGATTGCAGATACCCGTCCGTCCGTTTGTGTGCTCTTTCTTCGGCCAAAATGATTGCGCTGGTTGGTCTCTGTTTCAGATTCTCATTTGATCCCGCGTGGCTTGGCTTCCTCCGAATGGAGATTATCCTATCTTATCGATGCATATGTGTCCCACATGCAACGCATCCGGGGTTGGGCCGGCGTGGTGTTTTTTTTTCGCCTTCGCATGCCTTCACAAACATAGTAGCTTGGCGGCCATGTTGGGCTGGGGTGTGGGCGTGTGTGTGCGTCCCCACCCGAACATGATGACTAGCAACAACAAAGTTTTGCAAGGCTCAGACATGTGTCCTCGTCTGGTCCTGCTGTCGGGATGTTGACAGTTCGGAGAAAGACTTTGGAATTTACATGGCTCTCTGCTTTCTTGTTAGACTGCAACAGATCGCGAGCAGCTTGATTGATTCTGTGTCGACTTCTCAAGGCGGCTGCGCCGTTGACTTCCAGCTAGGTATCTGCATGACCTATGGTTGTCTTCTGCTGTAGGGTGTCCGTATTTCTTTGCACGGCTGCAGGTCGCCAGTTTTTGATTCTGAGTACGGCAACAACTGAGCGCAGAGTGTTTACTTTCCAGGCGTTGCCTGGATTGGTCGCTGTCTTCAAGCTGCTGGGTAAGGGACAGGCATGTGAGCCGCATGTCATATCTGCAGTGCTCAATGTCAGTAGTGACATCGTCGTCGCGATCATCGGTAGAGCAAGTGACTCTATGCTTCGGAAGCCTTCCAGGCTTCGACTTGGCATCCGCTCGGGGAGTTCTCGGCACCGTTTTCTGACGAGGTCAAGGAGCCTCTCTCCGCAAAGGTGCCCCTTGAAGCCTTTGCAAGCGCGACTGTGCAGAGGCAGTGTGCAACTATGTTGACATAGACAGGTTTCCTTGTCCTTCGCGCCGGGAGAGATTGTGCTCACGACAGCTGCCGGAGTTGTCCATCGTCGGCGGTTGCAGGAGCGTCAGCCTTCCGCTCGCGTGCTCGTGGACGCTGTTTCCGATAGCCTTCCGCTGAGACTTCAGACGCGAAGACCCCTTGTCCAGGATGGCCTTCTGGCAGAGTCCTCGCATCGCTTTGGAGGGGTCTCCACGGTGGTGCAATGGCAGGCGGTGTTTTGTGCGGGTTGATGCTGCGATCATGCTTCGTGTGCGTGTGTGTGGGCATGTGCGCGTGGATCTGGATGTGGGGCTACACAGGATGCCTGCCCGATGATCGGTGGAGGCATGGATTGCTATGGGCACTGGCCAATGTTTTGCTGTGATCGGCCATCGCTTGTGGCCTCTGTCGCACATGCATGATGCTTGACCAGTTTGTATTTAGGCTGTTGGCAGTTTCGTAGAGCTGCAGGCCTTGCACATCTTCGCCTCCGTCGCAAGGAGGGATCGCAGGCAGTGCATGCGAATTCGACTACGATCTTCGTAATGCGTTGCGGGAGTTTTTCACACCCTGTGTGAACAGCGCTGAGAGTTTGGGATCAATCTTGGAGGCTGGTCGTGTGAGAGCGGTCCCGTCGAAAGCTCCTTACGTGCTAAAAGGCCTGGACACCAGAGCTGCTGACCCAGAAGTTGGAGCACACAGAGGGAAGTGGTCGCCTGAGACGGTGAGCAGACACAAGGCAGACTCAGATGTCGCACTTTGTGTCTTGAAGATGCGTGAAATGTTTTGCTGTGCTTCGCCTAGACGGGATGCTGCTTCAGGCTTGAATTAAATTTCATTGGCTTCGTCAGATTGACCTGATGACTGCGAAGGGTACCTTCGCCCTGCGAGTTTTGGGAGGTGCGACGCCACAAGATCTATCAACGGCCATGAGCACGCGCGATCGTGCGAAACACGAGTGAGGATTCTGTCTCCCCTACATTGAAACCCCTCGCCTTTAGCCGCAAGTCTGCTATTCAGATCATCGCCGTCCCAGCGGTAGACCGAGTTTTCAGAATGTTGCTCTGAGGACCTTCGCTATTCCAGTGATGCAGAGGTGGCAGCTGCGTCTCACCCACCGCTGCCACTGGCCGAGACAAAGCAGTACTTCAGCGAATTCTGTTTGGCATCCAAGTGATTCGAGCTTGGAAGCGGCTCGGGTGTTGACAGCATGCAAATTTCTGGCAAAATCGGGATGACAAAGAGCCCTGTGCCAACAAGTTACGCGGACCTTCATTTTTTCGATGCCTGGACCAGTTTGCCAGGTTCCGGGCAGTGCAACAACAGTGTAGTGGAATCAAGGCCTCTGCTCAGTCACCGTCTGGCAGGTCCAGTTTCAATGGCAGTTCTTCTGCAAGCAACCCTTGCCCAAGGTATTGTGCTCACATGCTTGAAGCACTCTTTCCGAACAACCCCCCGTGATGGTATGGATGCATTGCCTCTCCGGCCAACGCCTCATCAGAGGCCATCGCTTCGTGAACTGGCATGGAACGCAGAGGTTTGCAATGAGAGCAGATAGATCATATGAGATCTTCGTTCCATCGCAGTTGCGCTGGGTCAAGCTTTCAACTCAGAAGCAAAGGTTCGTTGGAGTTGTAGTTCCGCAGTGGCCACGATTATCCAAGCGTTTCGGTTTTGTCTCGTCAGAGTATTGAATGGAGAAAGCTGTGGTGGCCCCAGGTCGCTGTGTTCTCCTTAAAATAAGGCCCTTCAGGACGTAAGGTCTGTGTGAACTTTCCTGGCAAGACTGCTTCTTACCCAGCTGCACTGACTGAAAACAGGGAATGCTTGCAGAGGGCCATGATGCGATATGTTGACTCTGCATTTGTGTTTAGGCCTGACACCGCCGGAGTGCAATGAGTGTACTTCTAGACTCTAGACCGTCTAGATCTAGACTTTAGAAACTTGCATGCCGGCAAGCGTCGTGGCTGGAAGGGCCGGTCAGTGTGCAAGCAAACGCCAAAAACACAGCCAGCGACAAGGCACCAGAATCCAAGAGCTGCACAGCCCACAGCACTGCTATCCAGTCCATGTGTAGAGTCGCGATTCTTTGTCGTTTGACACTTCCTTGACATCGTCATGGCGGCCGAGGCGCCTGAACTCTGCTTCCATGCTGCAGAACTCCTCCAGCAAAACATGACAGGGACCTTGGACGGGCTTCCCCGCCCTTAAGCTTTTCTGACTGCTGCTGCACCTGCACCCGTTTCTTTCAGGCAATGCGCCGCGTGCGCGGGACCAAAGGCACAGCAAATCCCGACGAGACTCTCCAGATCTTTTCAGTGCGTGATATAGTATGAACCACAAAGTTGGAACATCCTTATTCTCATGCCCTTAAGGTGAGATAGAAGGAACCCTAGCACTAATTCTCGTAGACCCATGTTCTAATTCTTTGGGGTTCACTGTAATGGCTCCCTGCGATGCAGGAATGGATGGTGTCTGGTGGACCAAGTTCGGGTGCACCCCTCCTGTCAGTGTTAACCATATCATGTGAACACTGTTGGGTATCTTGTGTGATTCTTCTTGCTTTCTGCCTGCTGTGTTGACAGGGCAGCAACCATGGATTTCAGCCACCAGGCGAAGTGTAATAGAGCAATGACTGATCGACTGCACCACGCCGGGATGTATTCCAGACGACAGTTGCAGATCCTTCTTCGCGTGTGTCAGGAGAAAATGCATCCATCAGACACCATTTTCAAGGCCGTGACAAGTCTACGTGGATTCTGCCGCTCTGCTTTTCGCTTTTGAGAAGCCATCTGCACATCTGGACTCCTCGCAGAACGTGGTGGCACACAAGAGATGGGATGCAGAGGCGATGAGGCGCTCTATGTCAGCCGCAATCGCAGAAGAACTGACACATTGCATTGTCTGCACGGCAGTGGTTTGCCCCTTTGCACTCTTACTTGTGGGAAGATGGTGGGACAGAATGCTCTCTGCGCTGCAGTCGCCCGGCGCCGTCAACTTCTACGGAGCACCTCTCACCCCAGATCAGGTGGGGAGCCAGACAGCTGACGACTACGAAAATGAAGATGCCTATGATGATGATGATGATGATGATGACGATGATGATGATGATGATGATTATGATGACGATATTAATAATGATGGTGAAACAGAAGAATGCGATGAGGCTGACAGTACTGATCGAGGGCACAAGAAAGGCGTGTGCTGACACTTACACGTCAGCAAACGAAGCTTCAGGGCTTGATGGGTTGCCTTGCGTTGCCTGCTCGAAACGGCCTTCGTCGAGGGGGCAGTGCTTTACTTATGCTTGGGCAATGCCTCTCCTTGCAGGCACCCGGCTCCAGCCAAGGAAGCCCTCGCACCTGCAAAGGCTGTGCGAAGGGCATGTAGCGGCGGGAATGATACGATCTTGAGTGAAACGGAGTCTGGAAGGCATCCCCAGATCTCGAGCGGAAGTGCGGTGCCCAAGATACACGGTGACAGAGTTCTTAGGAAGTAGCCTCGTCTGAGGTTCTGGGCGCACGAAGTGACCTCGAGGCAGTCCACATTGCGCATGGCGGAGGCATTCTGAGGGTATGAAGATGTCCGAAGGGATCGGATTGCAGAGGCAGGTTGCGGAAAACAACCCGGTTCATTAGCCGGTTAATTCGTGCCAAGCAGATCGCAAGTATGTTCTGAATACATCATGCGCAGTACCTCTAGAGTCGTACATGGTCCGCTTTGTGACTTCTGTAGTCCGAGCCTTGGCCAGAAGCGGCAGCGACGGATCGACTCCTGGGCGGGAGATGCACCCATCCGGATGCCGCCCGCGGCCGGATCCCAAGGGGACCCGAGAATTCCGAAGATCCGAGGATCCCCGAGACACTTCACCAGGCTGCAGGAGCTGCATGTCAAGAGTGATTGAAAGCTTCTGAGTGCGGCTCTCATCTGCAACCTGCGTTGGCGCAGCTCGAATCAGCGACGTAGTGTGTGAACCCAGCAACTAGTCCATAAAGTATAGCGGTGCTGCATGACGGCCATGGCATCCATGTCGCTGCTGCCTGTGCTGCTTCTACCATGCATGTGGGCATTGCGCTCCGATGTATACACAAGGGCCGACAAGCTGCTGCTGGCATCATCGCTTAGTCAATACGAGTGCTCCCCGCAATTTGTCGCCTCATCCAGTGTCGACACGCACGAGTGGCATTTGATTGCATTGGTCACAGGTTACAGAGGTTCTGGCGAAGGATTGCGAGGTCTTGCTGAAGGCCTTTGCACGGCAAGCTTTGCCGAAACGGAACGTACTTTGATCGTTGTTTTGGATGCTGTGGTCGGTGAGCACTCCGTGCAGCCACTTATGCTTCAGGGGCAACGTGTGGCCCAAGAGGTGCTGCAGATCGTTGCGTCCGGGGCCGAGTACAACAAGACCTTTACATCGTACTCGATCATCGGCCACTCTTTAGGTGGCCTCGTGGCAAGAGTTGCGGCAACCCACGTTGACCGAAGTCTTGCTGCGGCACTCAGGCCCAGGCTTTTCGTGTCACTTTTTTCGCCGCATGCAGGTGTGGAGAGCTTCTTCAATTCTAAGCTGCTCCCCACTTTGATCCACATCTCGGGCACAGACCGTGGAGTTATGGACGAGCTGTGTGAGAAAGTGCCTGAGAAAAGCATCTTGGTCGAGATCTCTCGTGGAATGTATCGCCAGGCGTTGGAGAAGTTCGAGAAAAGAGTTTTGTACACTTCAGAAACAGACTGGCTTGTGGACTTTGGGAGTGGAGGCATTACAGTGCAGAAACCTCCAGATGATCCGATGTCGGATTATCCTTCCTTAGGCTTGCAGAGCTGGAACTCAAGCAGTGCCGCAGAGACTTGCCAAGCTCGCAGTGTGCGTTGTGAGGTGATACATGAGTTGCGGCATCTTCCGTTCACAAGAGTTCGGGCGCAATGGCATCTCTTTCGGCCAGACAAGCATTCCGTGCAAGACATGACCGCGGTTGAGAGCTCCGAGTTGCTTCGACACATCACCACAGAGTTTGGCGCCTCGAACTCGAACCGCCCGCGCGGTGCTAGCTGCGTCAGCTCTGAGTTCTGTGCGCTTGGCCTTGAATGCTTGTCGGCCGTATCTACATGCCAACCTCGTCTGTTAAAGGCTTCGGACGCATGTGTCAAAGCAGGGGATGAGCAAATGGAGAAGTGTGCTTTTGCAGTCGATCTAGTCAATGAAGGTCTGCAGACTTGGCTTCTCGTCATGACGAGCAGTGGGGGTGGGGGTCATTTGGTGGCTGCGCGGAACCTGCAGCAGAAGTTACTGCAAGCTGTTGAAGGCGGTTATGAGACAGTTGCTGCGCGGTTGCAGGAGCACAGGCTGCTTCTTACACCCGAGGCCTACCGTCTCGCGACAGCAGCGTTGTCCGCAGTGCAGAAGGGCCCACCTGCGGTTGAAATGCTTGACATCATGGACAGCCCTTGCACCAGCTTGGATGGACATGGATACATCCCCTTGGGTGGCTTCATGAGCGAAAGCTGGAACAAGCTGCAAAGTTCAGGGGACATCAAGGGTCTGAGGAGGCTGGTGTCTCTGCAGCCTTGGACACAACTGCTATTTGGTCACCAGTGTCGGAAGTTTATACAGTCCGTCGTTGAAGCTAAGAAGCTGGGCTACAGGCTGCCACCGAAAAGACTGATTTCCACACAGCCCCTACTCGTCCGGTCCTTGCTCGAAGGATCCATGGACCGAGGAGTAGATCTTTACATGACAGATTTGCCCACAGAGGAGGCGGGAACGATCCAACCTGCCGTTTCTTTTGAGGTTTGGGGGTTCATGCGGCCATGGTCAAGTCACAGTACTTCCGAAGCTTCTGTGAAACATTCCATGGACACAAGCAGTATCCAGACAGTAAACGCTGCAGCGGCGCATTGCGCAGTTGTGCTTACTTTATTGTTTCTCGGTTATCCCCGCTTGCCTTCGTGTGGCTCTCTCTCTCTCTCTCTCACTCATGGCCCGGCATAGTGCCTGTTCCGTCCGTTCTTTCTGCGAACCCAAAGGTCAAAGGTCTCTACTCTCCCTCTCTTTCTGCCACCGAGCGCATTCTTGGTTTCCGTGTCTCGATATCACTCCTAGCATGCGCTGGAATGCACGGAAACTCTGAGAATTGAAAGGCCAGTTTTTACTGACCTTGTGTGACACGAACGCTGACGCCCAATACTCTGTAATCCTGACCGATGCAACATCATGGTACGCACAAGTGTTTGCGCCCGCGCCTGTAAGCGAAAGTGGTGTGGTTTTGCAGTCAGGCCAAAGTCCACATAAAGGCCCTCTGCAAGTCGCACGCTACACTGACTATCAGAAACACTTCAGAGACCAGAAGGTCTCAGCAGCAAGCCTTGTCCACCCCTGCGGCTCCGATGGCAGGCTGTCCACTTCTTCGGTGCCTTGGATAGCCTGCCCAAGGACAAAGTCTCGGATCAATTGTTTTTGCACACGCTCGCCCCAATGCGTGGTGGGGTGGAGGCGCTGCAAAATATGTCAGGCTTGCAGGGGCGGCACATCATGCTTGAGAAGTTCATGCCGATTGAAGATAGCTTCATTCGGCCAGGGGGTCTCCCGTCACCAGGCCAAGCCGTTGCAATACGACTCAAGGCGCAGATACCCCTGGAGGAAAAATTCCTTGATGGGACTGGCCCGGTCACAAACCCAGTGATTCTGGACGCTGACGATCAGGTGATGTTGGTGATGCTGGGCTCGCAGCCGACTGTGGATGCCATGTTAAAGTACGCAGCGGAGAGCCTGAAGCTGCCCAAGCTGCCTACTGGGTCCCGACGATACATTTTCCTGGCATGTGGACGCCCAACGACTGCTGCATACAAACAGCTCTATGCAGACATGCTTGCTTTGATACAAAGCAGCCCTGCCAATGGTACCATTCTCGTGCCCTTCACTGGTCAGCGAGCAGCAGAGCTTCTAGGCCGGGCAGATGTTACCATTACTCGCAGTGGTGGTCTCACGGCTGGGGAGCTGCTTGCATTGCAGCACCGAGGCGATAAGAAGCAATTTCTGCTGCATGTCGAGCCAGTTGGTGACGAGGCCAAGACCCGCGCTCTTGCGGCTCTGCCTGGCACAGTGGGCGACGCAGATGCCTTCCGACTGGCTGCAACGCATGCAAGCCTGCTTGGCATGGTTCCTTGGGAAGCGGGCAATGCCTTATACTTGCAGCAGGTTGTCGGCGCGAAGCTGGTGGAGCCTGGGAGCTTGGTCAGCACACTCCTTGGACGCGAGCACGAGCAGTCGTCGTTTGCCGTGGACTGGAGGCTTTTCCTGCATCTGCGCGGCTTCAAGGTTGCAGCTGTTGATTTGGCAGAAGCACGGCATTGTTCTTTCTCCCCGAGCCGCTCACGTGTTGTCTCCGAACCTGTGTTCGGGAGTCCTGCTTGCAATGCAGACTTGGAAGCCTTTGCTGGAGTTGGAAACGTGTTCACTTTGGGTCGAAGGTTTTTACCATCTGCAGCCATACCTTGCAACGACACAGCGCTCGTTGTTCAGCGGTTCTTGCCGTTGCTCTACAATCGAATGCTAAATCTGGCGCAGCAGGCAGTGGCCTCATGCCACGGTACCTTGATTCAGCAAGATGACTTGGTGGCAGTGCAGCTGTGAGATGTGAGCATCACGACTGGCCGTCAAAAGATGACGTGGTGACAGTGCAGCCATGAGACGCGAGCAAAACGTGCGTCCGTCAGAACAGCAGCTGGCGCATCTGTCCTCAGTTAAGGACCCGCGGCGAGACTGGTCTGAGTCATCGCTTAGCGCAGCCAGCTGCTCGCAGGCACAGTATAGCATTCTACTCTGTGCCCCATATGCAACTCACAGCTCGGCTGCCCTCACGGCTTGTTCTAGTCGTGCAGTCAGTCTTGTCATGCACATTTGCTGGCGCCAGCTGAATTTGCACTACTCTCTGGTCAAGCCCCCTGCGTGCAGGTCAGTCGCGAGGTGTACCGAAGGACCGGATGCGGAGTCGTGACTAAAACTCGCAAATGTGCGCCTCTTCAAGATGACAGTGCCAAGACAGCAGTCTGGGTGAGTGTCGCACTTCGCGAGCTTCGCCATAGGAACGGCTTCCTTGTCGGCCGCACACAGGCGATCCTCTGGGCAAGGGATTTCAGTTTGCGACTGTGCGTATATGGCACTCGACAATCTGGACGTGCAAGAGCAGCGGATGACACGACAACGCAAAAGGTGAAACTTTCTTTTTGGTCTTTTTGGACACGATTGCCGACACTTCCAGTGTTGTTGTGGTGCTTTGTGAGGCCCCACTGCGATCAAAGTCCTTGTCGCTTCAGAGCATACTCTTTGCTGGAGAGGCAGCCCAGCAGCATGCGCATGTAGATGCAGCACCTATCAGGACCGCTTTGTCATGCGGCAGCAACAGTTGCAGCAATTGCAGTTGCAGTGGATGCAGCCGTTGAGGTGATGAAAGCACCTCCAATGACTGCGATGAGGAAGAGGCCTCGTCAGTCGAATGCTCAGAGCAATAGTCCTGTACCCGCTGTAGTGCTTCGAAGCCGTAGAAGTTTGCAAGGTATGAGATGGCATGGAAGACTCTCCCAGAGCGAAGGCTCATCCTCAATGGGCTACGGCTCCTCCGAGGGTAGGTGCAGGAGTTGAGAGCAGCTCCGCTGAGCTCCGGGTTGTGAGCACTTCCTTTCACCTGCAAGTCTTCGAAATTTGTCAAGGCATGGCTCATGGCTTTGCAATGCTACGTTTTCTCGCAGGTTCGTTTTCGATCCGAAAAGCTTCCTTCCCGTTCCTCGAGGCTTGCGGTGGCACCTCCACTCACTTGTCTGTTCTCCAACTTCCTGTCGGCATGCTTGCCGCTCCTGACTTTGGGTTGGAAGGTGGCTGGGATATGCATGACCCCAGCTGGCCAGACATCTTTCCAACCGGACGGCGCGGATTGGCGCCACGTCAGCCACCAAGAGCGCATTCTCCAGAGTTTGTTGAGCTGCCCGCAGCATGTGACAGGCTTGTGGGATGCTCAGTGGAAAACAAAGGGGCAACCTAGGATGTATCGTGCAGAAGCAGGACGCTTCAAAGCCTCCTCCCAACAGCAATAGGCATAGCCGCTATAGCCTTGAAACTGTTTGCCCTCTGCTGGCCAGAAGGCCAGAACAGAACCCAGCAAATCCATGGTAGACAGGGTAGATTCCGAAGGGTGGGTGTGCGGCAGAAACTTTGCATCACCTCGGTATTGCAACCGGTTGCTAAGTGCCCTTCGAGCAGCAAGCCGCGGAGGCGCGCCTGTGTGGGCCATCACTGGATTGTCGGGGCTTTCAGATTTGCCGCAATTTGATTGCCATTGGGAGAAACGCTTCCGGTTGGTTATGCAGGAGTCAGACCGCACGGGAGAGGCCGGCTGACTACGACAGACCCTTTCCGGTGGAGAGCTCCCTCCCAGCAGGGAAGGATGCAAGCAGTGCTCACCACATGTCTCACACTCAGAGGCTTGCCTCTTGGAAATCCAAGTGGCAAGGAAACGTGCGGTTCGTTATGCGAAGCACAAGCATGGTTGCTGTTTGCAGAGTCCACAGGTTGAGTGTTGTGCGGAGGAATCGTCAGGGACTACCCGGGCAGGGCCGGAGAGTTTGGTGTCACTTCCGAATGAGCACAAAGGGATCTTTTGCTCTAATGTCCATAGAGACGAGGTGAGTTTGGCTCTCTGAGGGAGAAGGCTGATAATCGTGGCTTTGCCTCTGCACTCAAGGCAGACTGATGCGCGTTGACCGAAACACATGCCTTAGGACCCCAACTAAATGGCCATGTCATAGACTAGAAGTTGCGACTATCGGAGCCGACTCCCACTTCTGTGATGCTCCCATACCTGGACGCACAACCTTGAGCCAAGCATAGTACGATTGCATGACCGCAGCTCGAAATGTGGTCAACATGGCCTGCAAGCCGCTGCATAGGCCGGAGACGTGTCGTGTTAGGGTGCAGGAGGCGTTGTGCACGCTTGTCGTGTAGAGTACTCGCATTCTCAAGCTTCAATTACTTCGAGACTTTGCGGGTGGCGACCCCAGCCGCGACTCTGTTCAACAGGTGGCAGTGTACCCTTCCCAGATTTTAGTGAGGAAGCCGGATAGTGGCACCAACTCTCGAGATTGCGAAGTACCAACAACATGTTTGTCGTGGTTCGAGCATCCACGCCGACACCTTCGATGAGTCGGTCGCCCTTCGACAAATAGAACACATCGTCGAGGGGCCGACCGTGCATGTGTACATGTCCGGCTCCATGCACGCCACACTCCGACAGGTTTCCCGGCCGGATTACGATGGGTGATTTTTTGGATGCAACCACGGGAGATGATCTCGGTAACCCTTGTTCGACCAAAAAGACTACGGCCCCACTGGCGAAGGGTCAGCCTCTTGGAGACCCTGCTCACCCACGTGTTCGGTTCGGGCTTGGTGGACTCAAGTGTCCAGACTCCGACTCCAATACCGGTGATGCCGCTGCTGCACATCAACCCAATGACAGCCAGTAGCCATCGTTAGCCGCGGCATGAGTGTTGAACACATGGGCAGCGACGGCAAGCTGCAGATGCAACGGCACGACCACCCAAAAACACCGAATCTGGGGGCCGACCCTGATTGAGCACACCGACAGTTTGCTTCTACAAGACCCCGAACAAACCTGTCTCCTCTTACCCGACAGGGTCGACATTGCAGAGCCACATGCTAGCCTTGTCTTCGGGACATGCAACTCAATCCGGCGAATGTCGTCCGATTCACCTTCAGCGTGATCCACATCGACACATGCTGCACGCCTCACCTCGCGATCTCCCGCCCAGGCGATGAGATCTACTGTCTACTATCCTGGGAGTCGCTTGAGTCATTGTCATCAGGTTCCCAGATATCCAGAATGGTTGAGTGCCTGTGTGTTTCTCCCGTGATATACAACGCCCAGCGAGATGTCGCTTCTACTTGCCACTTCAAAGGTTTTAGAACTGTGACCGTGCTGCCACGGCGGAGCATCTGGACTCTAGACATGCCCTCATCAAGGGGGTAGGAAACCATCAAGCCGTTGACGTGCCTGCTGGAAAATCCCTGGGCGTGGCATACTCGACCAGGCATTTCGCACGCCTGGCAAGGGGTGCCTGGGAAAGAAAACCAGGAGCGTTTTTTCGCGAATTTCAACTCCCAAAAGAACGCCGTCTTTGAACTTCGGTACAGTTGCCGGTGACAGCATTCACGGATCGGGCTGTCTTGGTCCTACAAGCAAACAGTGGAAAACGCGTTGACCTGTACAGTCCGATTAAACATTGGAGACTCAAATGGGTTCTGTAAGAATCGAAAACACAGCGGCCCTCCGAAATAACTGTTGTCGTGCAGAACACGTGTGTTCGAACTGACAACGACGGCGGTTCCCACTCGTCGACATAATATCTGATCATGTCGAACTCCCTGGATACATCAGTGGCCATTTGGGCCAAAGCTTCGATCTTCTTTTGTTTCTCGTCTGTACGACCGATCGCTAACACGAGAATCGGTCCGTTCTGCGAAAGTAAGATGGGTTCTGTAAGACATCGAATCTCCGATACAGCTTGAAAAAGACACTGCGCAGTTGTTTCGAATGCACAAGGAAAATGTGCGTGCCCCGGGATGGCTCATTCTTTGAGTACCGTGTGATGTCATTCTAGCGCATTGTCAAAGGTTTTGTCTGTGTTTGCGTAACCATCATGTGACGATGCTCCTCTGATTGCAACAGTTCTTCCATTTTCGAACTGCAGCCTGTTCTGCACTCCTTCGAGCTGCCCGACATGGACTGCATGGCCTGAGCCTTTGGCATTTCTTGCGACACGAGGCGCTGGTTTACGGAGCAGTTTTGCACCCCACAGTGCCCGCGTTGGGAGATGTGCCTGGGCTTTCAACATTGTGGTCCTAAGTCAACACTTTGAGTTGAAAAAGTAAAACCTTCAATCCGTGTCGCATGGTGTGAGGCTGTTTGCTGACCCATGCCCCTCTAGCTGCTCTCGACGCCGGGCACCGGGTCCAGTTCTTGTGTGTTTGGCCTTATGCATACATGTGTGAGTGAGGCTTCAGGTCCTCTCCAGCTTCGCAGGCTCAACCAAAGGAGAATCAGAGATCAGATGGTGCATGCAGCGGGCAAACAGAGCCGATGTGCTGTCTTGCAGGAAAGGCAGAAGAAGGGTGACGCATTCCAGGACACCGCTCGTCTCGTTCTAGTTTTAAGGTGGTGGATTCGTTTGGCGTCAATTGCTTCAATGTCGGGCTTTCGATGTTTCGCATTGTAACGTCTTTAACAGTTTGCAAGCTCATCCACCTTGAAGGGGCGCCGTGCTCATGTCCGGTGCATGGCCCGGACTGCCGGACTGGGATGGCTTTTTAGCATTCGAAGGACGTGATCGTGCATCTGCTGCACTCCGGCCGAGCCAAGGTGATGGAGGACTCTGCGTGGTTCATATCAGCTCTGCCGTCCTTGAAGGGACTGGCCTTGCAGTTAAGAAGCGTACCGAGCTGACGAATTGGTCTCGGGAGGAGCTTTATCAAGTGGTCTGCGACTTCTTTTCCAGTCAGGGCCATCAAGCTCTTTCAGCTTCTCTTGCGAGGTGATTCTGGCATGTCGTTTTTTTTCTGCAGAGAAGGCACTGACATGCAGAACATGCATATGGAGAGGCAAGTCCGCGAGGATCAGGACCTCGAGCGCTTCAGAGCGAAACTTCGCAGCCTTTCTGCATTGGCCGTCCGATTGTCATATTTGCGAGAGGAACTTTTCCGAGCGATTTAATGTATCAGCAAAGAAACATGGAGCGCCTCACGGATGCAGTCGCGGGAACCAGTGCAGTAACCCTGCGCTACCACATGCGAGTTCAGTGCAGAAGATGCGCAAGAATGGGGACGGCGGCACGACAGTCTTTCAGTCGTATACTCGATCCAACGTGGTAGGTCATTTACCATTCATTTACCCCATGCGGCACCCAACTTGTGGGACCCCTTCTCTGCACTGGTACATGTAGTCAAGTTCTAATGCCCCGCAGAACCCTAATTTAATCGCACACTTCCCAATCCAAGTCGTGTTGAACCCTAATTGAAATCCCACCCTAATTGAAATCCTGAACGGTGGGTTTTGGGGTTTGGGATGCAGGGTTACGCCGACGCTCTGAACCCTCTCAGTGACTGTCGCTCAAATCTTCTGCCAGAGAGGATGAGAAATTCAAGAAGTGACGGATTATCTGCGTTGCTATGTCCGGGCGGAACTTCACAGGGTCACTTGTAGAGATGTCTGAGCCAACAACGCGAGCAAGCTGTGACAGGGAAAGCCGGGTGAGTACTGCTTTCTCACTGTAACTGTGACTCCGTGTCCCCAAACGTACTTTGCACGATTGCTGAGGGAAGATCTTGGAGAAGCATCTGAGTCCGGGATTACTGAGTTCTGTCGTGGATGCAGACCATCTAAACGTGGAGGAGATGCAGGCCAAGGGCAGAGAGCCAAAAGTTGTGCATTTATGCTCAACGTGTTCCAGGCCAATCTTTACGATGCGCTGAGTCAGGCGGTGTTCTTTTCTACATGCTGTCACGAGTTCCAAGTCTGCATAGCAACGGCACTGCAGATGGCCAGGACGGTGACCTCGAGATGGACATGGGTGAACATGGAGGCACATCGTGCTGTCATCCTTTCACAGCATTTGTGCAGAGCCCTGCAGCACGACAAAGGTACTTCTGGGTACTCGGATATGCTGCTCGGGCAAGTTTTTGTGGTAGAAGGATTCAAGATGTGTGCTGCGTTTATAACGCATCACTGACATGCTGTTCAGAGGCTGTGCGGGTTTCGACGCAATGTCTTCAAACTAGCTTCTGGGCCGGCCAGGTTGCGGATGATGAGCATGCAGCAGCAACGACCGCCGCAAGGAACGGAGGTCGCTTCCCTGAAACTGATCAGTGGAAATGTCGCAGCATGTGCTAACTTGGTCAGCATGAACCTAGTGAACACTGACAGGAGCGACCTTTGCATGAGCGTCGGGTTATGGACGTGCAGGCGCGTCAAACTGAGAGGGCAATTGACTTGCTTTCTGCTGTTTGAAAACGGGAATAATTTCAGAGGAAGCAATCGTGCTTTGCAGCAGGACAGACAACATGCCATCGTCGCAGCCACTTGATTTCAAGCAATGTGCTAGCGCTTGTTGAGCGCTGCTCTGCTAGATAGCTGCCATGGAAGAAGATGCGTCATGGATCTCCGGTGACCTTCGAAGGCGAACCAGAGTCTTCAACAATAACCAGGACTGCATTTCCATATCATAGGTCGTAGGCTTGGCACGAAATGGGATCATTGACAGATGTCTTCAACACGCGGGTCACAACTTGGCAGGAGAAGCTTCTCTTCTTCCTCTCGGAGGAGGTGACCCGAACTCCCGCCGTCTTTGAGCAGGCTCTGGGTCGTTCGAAGAGCAGCAGGTGGCAAACCACCATCTTTCTGAGCATGCACAGATAGGATCATTCGGCTAACTATGCTTGAGGCGCAGAAGAACAGAGATGCTCACCAAAAGAGGCTCAATGAGATGCTGGAAGAAACGCTGCGGCAGATTAAGAAATGCCGGGCTCATATGCAGCAGAAGAAGAAACACGTTATGGACACGACGAAGTCCTACACAGTGGCCTGGTTGATCTTTGCCGCATGCAATCAGACCATGTGCAGCCTCGTTCCCAGTCTTTGAGTCCGAATGGGGTCGTTGCTCCTTGGTGTAAGAGAAATCGCCATCTCGTTCGTCAACGACCACAGCACAATGCGTGCCACAATTGAGGTCATAAGTGATCGCTTTCATGCTTCCCCTACCTACCATGGGCGACTCGTTGCGTACTTGACAAGAAACATTGCGCTCCAAAGATTTTACATCCTGCTGCCGTAGCCCGCTGGGACTGCTTCGTAATCATTGGCAACCGCTCAGCATTCTTCCTCATCAGCGATAGTCAACAGCTGTGCACAAGCATGTCAGACAACGAGCACGGAGAAGCCGGACAGCTGTTTTTTGCTTGTTGGTATACTCTGGACAGGAATTTATGGTCAGGGGCGATCCTGGACTTGATTCAGAGCTGATCTCTTAGAAGCAAGTTCACAGACCCGTTTGTGGGCCATGCTGTCATCTTCTATTCCGTGCCACTGTCAGGAACAGGCGCCTCATACGGCCGAAGACGGAGATGTTACGGTCATCCAAACATGTCCGACTGGACAAGCCGGTCGATGCACTTGTATCCTCACGTAGCAGTGCGCCTGTTGTGAAGTACACGTGTGTACGCAGTAACAATCGGCTACGGCGACCGCGGTTAGCACTCGGGCTCGAATCGCCGATTTCAGCTTTTGACTTCTAGCTCCTTTGACGCCGTTGCCATGTCGTCTTCTGGAGCTCACCCTGTCTCCAACGCCGGCTTGCCCATCAAGGCACCGCCGACGCCGCGCAAGGCGCCGCCGTCCTTGGCACCTACACCGCCGACGGCCAACCCGATTTTGACTTCGGCATTGAAAGGGCGGTCGCCGAGTTTCGCGCGGTGCTCACGGCGGGCCGGCAGGGTGGATACGGCGCTTGGCGGGCCTTCGCGGAGCAGATGACCATGGAGGACCGGACGGCGATTCTGGAGCTTGTCGCCGTGTTGACCATGACCCCGCCGGTGCAGACGCCGTCCAACAACGAGGTCAATCAGCACTTCAATCGCCGCTTCCCGGCGACGGTTACAACGGCGGCACAGGTCAAGGCGGCTCCACCACCGCCGCCCCGAGCAGCCAGTCAGCCGGCCACGCCGCCGACAGGAGGGCGAGGTGCGCCGCCGTCTGAGTGGGCTGGCCAGGTTTCATGGACACCGCCGATGGCTACGCCGCACAGGGAACCGACCGGCGTATCGGGCTCAGTCTTTCTGGACAACCCGCCGCCCACGGGCTCCTCCTTCCTCAACCAGGCGGGAAACCATGTCGCAGCTCCTTCGGCGGAACTTGGACAGGATGGCGGCGGAGTCGACGACAGCATTGGGGAACGCCACGCCGGGGGTTCAGGACGATGGTCGACGCGCAAGGGGTCAGCCACAGACTCCCGCCGCAGGGCGTCGTCAACCCTCAGTCGCTTCAGCCCTCGCGGCCGGCGTCCCCGCCGAGATCTTCTACGACTACCCCAAAGCAGCCGCCGGTGGTGGACCTGGCCTCTCCTATGAGTACTGGCGGGACCGCCAACATCCTCCTCGCCATGCAGAACACCAACAACGGCGACCCCGACTTTGACCCTGCCGCCGATGAGGAGCAGAGGCAGGTCGCCGGGGAGAATGACCGTGGGAGCAGCAGAAGCTCGAGCGCCGGATTGCGGGCTGGTGTTGCCACCCCTGCACCGCGCCGAACTGCCCCTACGCCGGAGACCTCGCCGACAGGGCGTGCGACGGGATGGGACGGTGCCTGCGGCCGGTCATCATCGGCAACGGGTATGACCATCGCAGTCATGCCTGAGCCGGGTGCGCCGGCCTCAAGAATCCCTGGGACTGAGCCGCCGACGCCGACGAGCTCGGCGATGATCTTCTACGGCCCCGCCGTCCTGGGTGACACGGGGCGCTCCTTTTAGCCTTGGCTCGACGAGCGCCGCAAAAGAGAGTTCTGTTCGAGCCCTGCCGGTTGTGCACTGCTTGCCTCGGTTGCTCTCTCTCTCTCTCTCTTCGCCGGTTGTCGCCGCTGCCTTCTTTGCTTGCCGCAGCTGTTTTGGCCCGGGCTCGAGATCACCGACGACGACCGCCGACACCCTCGCGGCGACACCTCCCACGGCGACAGCCACCTTTGGCGACTTCATCAGGGATGTCGCCGCCGCCGGCGGGAAGGATTACCTGGCGACATTCGCCAGGCTTGGCATCGCAAACTTCCTCGCGGTCAGGGAGAGATTCGCCGAGCTGCTTCAGCACGGCGTTCCAGAGCAGGTGCTAGTTGGGATCCTTGCGCCGGTCCCGCCGGCGCAGGACGCGATCGCCGTCGCCAGCCAGATCCGCGCCGACGTCCCGACGAGGAGGACAATACCTAGAGCCTCCATGGCGGCGGCATTGGAGGCAATGGACCCCACACGCCGGGCCGAGACCATCGCGGCGATCGATGCCAACCTGGTCGCAAATTCCACCCGCCGGGCGATGGAGTCCCGGGTGCGGTCTATGACCGCCCTCGCCGCCCGCGGGAAATTTGAGCTGTTCCCCCTCGACGTCCTCGCCGGGGCCCTCCGTGCCGGGGGGTACAGGTCTACAGGCCTCTACCTCGACACCGCTCTTTGGCATCACAGGCTCAAGCAGGCATTCGACCTCGCCGAGCTTGCCTCCCTCATCGAGATGAACCTCGCCGCCGAGCCCTTTGACCCTGTGACATCCTCTTCCACGCCGTGGACGTAGTCATCGTCGCGAAGTGGTTTATGCTCAGAGAGATCGAGACGGCGGCAGCCAGGATCAGGGACATCGAGGTCACGCCGTCGACGGTGTCGCTGGACATCCCCCTGCGCAAGACGGCGCAAGGGGGACAGACAGACCTCACACGCCGGAGCTTCAGGTGCGTCTGCGCCGTCAGGGCACACCCTCTGTGCCCACGATGCGCCGCGGCCAGGCACTTGGCCAGAGTCGCCGCCGCCGGCGCGCAGCCGTAGGACTTTCTCTTCCCGGCGACCGACGGCAAGCAGCGGTCCAAGCAGGACTCCGCCGAGATGTTCAGGAAGGTCCTCGACGCCGCCGGCTTCCAGACAGCCTACATCGACGACTCCGGGCGCCGCCGCCTCATCTTTGGAGGTCACGCCGCAAGGGTCGCCGGAGCGACGTTCCTCGCGCTTCGCGGGGTCGCCGTCGCAGTTATCCAGCTGATCGGCAGGTGGGCCAGCACGTCGGTGGAGAGGTAGACCCAGCAGGCGCCGCTGGCGCCCTGGCACTTACGCCGGGCACGCCGACTTTGACGCCGCAGCCGCCAGGCCGCGGCTCCGGACACGCCGGGGCCGCCAACTATAGCAGGAGTGCTTTGCGGCGGACATCCCCACGTTTGAGTTCGTCCAGGCCCCGGCGCAGGTACCCGCCGACCGGGCCATCGTGGTGACCGCGGCGCGCGCGATCTATGTGATGAATTGCCGCGCGAAGCTCCTGCACGCGCCCGCCGCGGATGAGGACTCTACTGAGCGGTCGGAATGGCAGGCCAGGTGCGGCTGGCCATACGGCGTTCGGCAATTCTTCAGGCTACATGACCTGCCGCCGTCGCCGCGGCTCTGCCGCAGATGCTTCCCAGAGTCCACGGTGGACGTGGGCGCGCCGGAGAAGGTCTCATCCTCGAGCAGCTCCTCGTCCACTAGCGGTGCCACGTCGGACTCCGATTAGGGGTCGCGACGCCGTGGCCGGGAAGGGTGAGATAGCCTGTTCAGTTTTGTAGCCGTGGCCAGGCAGGCGTCGGCGATAGGCCGTGCCGCCGCAGTCACCCGCCAGAACCGACGAGGACAGGAAATCAGGGCCAACGACGAGGGTCGAGGCCAGGATCCGACGGTACAGGGTGGCTCGCGCCCCCTCGAAACACCGCCGGCAGCCCCGACGTAGTTCCCTGTGCCCTTATAACAGCCATGGCGGCGGCCCCGACGGTTGCGGCGCAGATGGTACAGCTCTCACCTCTACCAGACCGCCGGCGCCGGCGAGGCGATCAAGGACTACCTCACGGCCCGGAAGATCACGGCGACGCCGACATTGGCACTGATCGCACCGACGATGGAGACATTCACGGCGCTCTTGATCGCGCCGTTCCTCGCCGGAGTCACCATAGACGCGAGGGAGCACAAGGTGGAGGATGGGCAGGACGCCGTCGCGTCGGCCATTTGCACCCACCTCTTCGTGGAGGCACGGCAGCAGTGGGACGCGATCTCGTCTACACCGCCGCCCTCGGCATTACCTTCGCCGCCAATGCCTCCGCCGACACAGCCGGGCCCAGCCACCGCACATGGACCGGCCGCCGAAGACCTTCTCGGCGTTGAGTCAGCAGGTCAAGATCTACGGGGACCGCCTGCTCGACGG